ATCTTGGTGGTGTCGGCTATAGAACAGTAGTGCGTAGTCAGGCCGGCGAAAACCCCGTGACACTGGGCTCGTCCAGCACTTCACCCCCCCACACCTCGCGGCACCGTCGCATGCCACGTCCAACGAAACGAAGCTAATGAGCCGTCGACACACAAATACACACCACGCAATCTACGTTGTGGTTTGCTCGTGCTCGATTAACCTTTCGTCGGATACTCACCGAATGGGATAGTGCGGCCGTACCTGGACGGACACTTGGGCCAATGTGGTCGACCATCTTGCTCTGCCCGACAAAACTAGTGTGGTGTGGCAGGGAATTGGGCAATTGGGCTATTGTCACACCAGAACGTCCACACCAACACACTCCAGACGTGGCATGCCGATGTGTTGGCGGTAGTAAACGCGTTGTGAATCAGCAGCGACAGGACCAACCCGACCTTGAACTGCGCTATCGGTGGGAACAAGCACCCGCTGCCGCCGACTGAGACTCGGCGTGGCTTTTGAGAGACTTGAAGCTCGCCGCATTGTAAGGACTAGGATATCCGGGAATTGGCAAGTGCCCCAATATTCTGTCTTGCGTGTGACTGGAAGTGTGGATTTATGTACCTGGTACAGCGGAAGTGAAGGCACGCATGTGTACGAAAAATGCCACTCTGGCGTGAGTGGTTCGGCACTCCATATCCAGTCTAGTTCTAGCTCTAGACTTTTCGTGTTAAGTTTACAAAACTAGCACCAAAGTGCCAGAATCGTCGAAGAGGACTGTGATGAAGACGCTCCAGTGCTGTTTCGAGTCACTCCAGTGCTGTTTCGAGTCACTCCAGTGCTGTTTCAATTCAAAGCACTCATGATGTAACTTACCGGTACTTACATTTTGACCAATCACAGCAATGTCGGATGAAAGTGTCGTATTTGCAAAGTTACCCAACAAATACTGCGTATTTCAGTGACCTGTCGAAAAAATCACAATTGATTCTATGTCCGATACTGTACTACGGTAGTATGTTTCTATCCTATGTTTCTATCCTTGTTTTGACGCATACCAGTAATATAATTTCCTGCACATGAATATTGTTTCGAATGATGAAACTGATTGGCAGGATTTTATTCGTACTTCGAAGTTTGATAGCCAATCAAATGATCATACATTGATCCCACTCGAAGAAAAAGTAGGCCTTGCATTCTACATTCCCGTGTAAAGGGGGTATCACCTGTACATCTTGCAAAAATTGCATATTATTTTTGTCCAATCAGATCGATGTCGGACGGATTTGTCGTACCCGCCAAATTCTCCATGCATAACAGAGGTACCCGTACTTTACGACTCAATGTTGAGTGTGGTACTCCGTTGCGCATAGCCAGTTTCTGTTCCGACGTTTTTAACTTTGATTGGCAATTCGAATGCGTTGTGGGGAGTATGTGTTTTCGCGATTTGTATGCGTTTTCAATCGAGTAAAACCGAATCGGACGAAATGGAGCCTGAATGGCCGAATTCAATAACGTTTTAAGGTATTTCGTTACAAAAGCAGTATTTAACTGTAAGCAATGATTTACAGTTACCTGTTAACGCGACACTGTTTGATAACAAAAGGACGATAATTCGTCAAAACAAGTACACACTCCTAATTGAATCCTAAAATATATATTCCGTTTGGATTATTATGTTGTGTCAGTTCGAAAAGAAAATATATTAATTATAGATTTTAATTTTAAAATTTAAATATTCAAAATGATATTGAAGTCACACACGAATTCGATGTTGCATTATTGGTCGAAAAGTGGATCATTTGATTGGCTACTTGATTCGTGATCTGGGTTTGGATTGGTCAATGTATCGATTGTCTGCCGATATTTGGTTATTCTGGTCATTCGATTGAGCACCAACCACCCTACTCCAATATCGACTATATCGACTTTCAAGATATATGTTTACACCAAAGCATGCCAAGAGTCGCAAACTTGGAGAGGTTTTCATGGATGGATTGAGCTAAAAGAGACTTGGATCAAGCAGCAGTTTGTAATCGAGTAGTATTGATGGATGTACTACCTACTTACTACCTACTACTACTACTAGTACTACTACTCCTCAATTTGTTGCTTAAAATATGCAACACCGTGCATGTGGGGAATCAAATACCTTTTCTTTCAAAGATTTAGCTCGAATTCAAGCTACGAATCAATCTCTGCGCTTGGATATGGGTCGTGAATTATTCTATATATTTCAAAAATGCAAAAAAAGGCAAAAAAGGTGAAAAAAGGCAAATGTTGTGCTGGATATGTGTGCTTTACGTTTGTGGGTAGGTGTTTGACGGGTGGAAAGCTGAAGACAAGCAGGCGATAGCAGCCGAAGTGGATCGGCAGGAGAAGAAGGCAGCAAAGCAAGTGCGCCGTGAAGAGGCCAAGTTACGACACGAATGGCGCACCAAGTTGAACGAACAGCGCATGCAAAAGCAGCGGCAGATGCAACTGCTCGCACAAGATCGGGCGATGCGGCGGCAGCGACGGCCTCCACAAGAAGACAGCGATGGAACCGCGTCCGACGAGTCCAAGGAAGACGAGCAACGAGATGGAACCCCCGCCACCATCCGTTTGCCGAATCAACAACGACCCATGCCACCACCACCACCGGCATCGCCCTCGCAACCTACGGCAGACATGTCGCCATCTATGTCTGCAACCACTTTAGCAACGCCAAAACCATTGGAACCAGTTGACACCTTGACCTTGATCAACTCGACGTTGATGGACTCAGCTGCCACGCTGGAGAAGAAGCGGTCGATGGTTTCCGCCGCAGTGTGGGAGTCCCGGTATTACAAGATAACATGCTTCTGCTC